GATTGAAATGAGCAAAGCAACTTTGAAATAAAGCTCAAGTAAAAAAAAAAAAAAAAAAACTACCATTGTGTCCAGGCGGGCAGAAGATCATTAAACAGAGGACGGGTGAAGTGCAGCAAGCATAGCTCAAGCATCTGGCTGTGGTCACCATGCAGGTAACAGCCAGGTCTCAGTTAAAAATAAAAAGTCTAGATTCTTGGAGGAAATAAAATCGTTCAGAATGAAATCTTTTTTGGAGAGAGACCTTACATTCAAGAGAGCCAATTCCACAGGGATACTTTGGTGGCCAGAGGGGGTGGTCTCTATAGGGACTAAGTTACAGATCCTAGGGGCTGTAGGCATATTGATGTTATTTTTAAGGCCTATTGTTAATTACAACCTGTGTATCAAATGTCGTTGTATTTAGACTTAAGGGAGTATAGGGCTAACAGCTGGTAGTTGACAGAGAATGCCACATGAGGGAGGTGGTGAGCATTTTTCAGGATGGGGTTGAGATTGTAAAAATCATGTTGTGTGTCAAAGTATGTACACCCAAACTGCTAGGATGTATTCCATCTCTCCCATAAAAGGAGGGGCGATTCCAAAAGAGGTTAAAATGATCAATGAAAGCAGGACTATTATGGACTGCCCAGGTAGACTGCAGCCATGTGTGGAGACTGAGGATGAGGCAAAAACGACCGACACCTCGGCCTAGTGGAGGAATGGGGCCGGAGACAAAAACACGCCTGCCACATGAATCCAGCGAGCAAAGGAGTCTGCTAAAGTCATATTTTAATATTGAAGATCGAAACATCATTGCAGCCGATCTGTAAGATGATGTTAGTAACGCGTGGGTGTTTTGTCAAGAGACTGGGGATCCTATCCAATATGTCCAAGACCATAGCGCCTTGAAAACAGTATGTCACAGCTGATCTTCTCCTGACATGCCCCACTATGGAATCACCAATAACCAAGGTGTTCGGCTCCATCGCTAGCGATGCAGGATCCGCTCGCTGCAAGGAAGCAGGTGAGGGAGGATGATTTGCTGCAGATCGCCGCAAAGCCAGAGTGTAGTTCGGCTTCGAACGGTGCGTAGTGGGACGGGAAAAGACCCCCCGCAGGGTTCGGTGGAGAAGCCCAGTAGGTGGAAATCCAGCAGGGTTGCATAGTACCATGTAGACTGAACATTTCATATTGACTTTCCAACTGGATTTCCGTGTTTGAGGGGGTGTGATAAAAGATGCATATTGAATAGAGAAGTCAGGACAAGAAATGACACTGTTGATGGAATGTGTGAGCTTTGTGGGCCTCTATTTTACATAGTATTTCCTGGTGGCTATGACTGACTCTGAATACTGGAAATGGGGGATTGTCAAATGGACTGATCATGAATCCTTCTTTGACCTCTTTTTCCAATAGGGAGTCGACAATTTCTGATTGATGATATCATCGCTGACATCACTGGGGCAGACCAACTGAAGGGGTTTTAATTCTGAGAAATGTTTTCTTTCTAATCGTTTCTTTTATATTTAAGTTACTGGTGCAATATCACTTAATTATTGAAAGTTAATTTGGTTTAGTAAATGATCTGAGGTTAATTTAAGGGTTTATTTTGATTTCTTTGCTTCAAGAGAAAAGTGTAAACCCACTATTTGAGTTGTGCTGCACCCAGCATCAGTGGCTACAAGCCTGCAACCAATCATCATTATGACGTGAGCTCTGAATCAACAAATAAACATCAAGTTCCTGGTTGAGAGCACACACATCAAAACAACAAAAACCTAAACATGCAATTCTAAAAAACAAATGTAACAGGAAATGTATGTGCCTCCTGGAAATGTTGCTAGACTGTTAGTGATGCACACGAAGATTATAATTACAGATCCTCCCTGGATCCGCACCGAGAACTGTCCTTATCAGGTTTCTTTTTTATCTTAGCATAGCCACAGTGAGTGCGTCATAACTTTGTAACTGAATGTCTATATAGTGTGGAGTTGGACTGCCCTTCTCTGGGCTTTGCTGCAGACTTATCTTTCAATCTGTACATTTGCTCTTCCTATTTGCAAAAGGAATAATAAAATGGCAACAAACACAACTGAATGACTCAAAGATCTTTTATTAAACAATCTCTCATTACAGAAATTTCCAGCACACATATCAATTCATAATCTCCAGTTCAGGGGACACTTAAGGGCCCAAAAAAGAAATGATGATCCAAACGCAAAATCAGAAACATTCCAGTAGATGTAAAGTCATTTAATTGAAGATAAAAGGAAGGTTAGATATATGTCTATAGTTAGCTAATGTTATTGAATCAAGAGCAGGCTTTTTAAGAAGAGGTTTAATTACAGATGTTTCAAATGACTGTGGTGCAGTCATCTGCATAACTTCAACTACTCATACAAGAACACCTGAACAATGAACAAGCACCGCTCTGAACAGTCTCACCTTTCACTATAGTTAAACGAACCAGCGCCCAAGTATATTAATGGCCATCCAAGTACATTTCCAACCTGTTTTTATTTAAATGTATTTGCTGCACGCACAAGAGAGAGAGAGAGAGACAAAACGGGAGAGAGAGAGCGCAAAAGAGAGTGCATCAGTGCAACATAACAAAACTCCTGTTTGAAAAAGAAATCCCTCTCGACTCCTGAGGAGAGAAAAGACACAGGAATATCAAGAAAGCAGTATCACATCAACTTCAGAGAGAGAGAGAGAGAGAGAGAGAGAGAGAGAGAGAGAGAGATGAGTATGGAGTTAGATCAGTCTCAATATTCATGATTGCACACATAAAGATTCACAAATGTATTTCAATGCACACACAAAATATTTATAGTTCTATATAAATGTAAAACAAATCCACAAATACAAAAAAATAAGATTCACAAACATATTTCACACACAAATATTATTGTTATTTATATATATATATATATATATATATATATATATATATATATATATGTAATAGAAATCCACAATTATATGATATACATATATATATATTTATAATTAAAGGTATTTGCAATTTTAATCAAAAACACATTTGTATCATGATTTGTTCTGTTTAGTTTAGTTTTTCACAGTTCAGATGGTTTTTATCTTTTAGGTCTCATTCTTCCCTGGTGTTTCCCTCTATGTTCTAGTGTTTCTTAATTTTTCATTCTACAGTGTCTTCAGTGTTTCATGTATTTATTTTGTAGTTGTCCTCAGTGTTTCTTGTCTTGTGTTTATTCCTTCCTCTGTGTGTTTCCCTCCAGTGTGATTGCCCTCATTGTCTTCACCTGTGTCATTAGTCTCACCTGTGTTTGATTACCACTGTGTCTATTTAGTCTCTGTGTTTCTTCCCTTCCATGTCAGTTCATTGTTTTATGGTCGTTGTCAGTCTACTAGTGTCTCCTTGTATTTTTGTTTTGGATTTTGCTAGCAAGTTTTTGTTTGCCTTTTTTGATTATTAAATACTTTTAGTTTATTCTGCACTTGGGTCCACCTCTCCTTGTTTTCCAACCATACATGACAATTTGTATCTTGTTGTCAGAGCATCTAGGAGGGATGTTACAGCAACTACAACAACTACCTCTTTCCTAACTTTCCTCTTGGATGGAGTTTGTTCTTTTTTCACATTCAGTGAGTCCAGTTTGGAAAATTCAGTTGAAACTCAGCGTAGCAACCTGGGCGAGAACAACTTCAACCTTTTTAGAGAACAAAAAAACTTGTAAAACTGGTTTGATTCAGGATACCGCCTGCAGGGTTTGAGAATATATATAGCTGGTGTATGTTCCTATCAGTAACTGTATCTTCCTGTTCCTGTATCTTTGGCAACATTCATGGCAGTGAAACCCTCCCTCTGAAAACCCAATGACTTTTTGTGTCGTCTTGATGCTTCTTGTTAGGGCAGGTTGTTTGTTAGTGTCTGTATGTTAGTGAAGGATTCTATCATTGTACTAAAACTCACAGAGATGAACTTCTTTTTATTATTTGATCACCATCACATTAAGATTTCACCACTGTGTTCTCTCCATATTGATCTCTACTGAGGTAAGACATGATGTTCTTTATTCAGTAACATTGAAGTTATCCTGTGTGTTTCAACGATACAACTTCCCCTATCTAAAGATAACTTTCTGATCCTAGCTGTCTCTCTTACTCTCTCCCGTAAATAAACAGTTCCACAGCGCCCCTACAGGCCTGGAGCACTTCGTTTAAGGCTGAACTTACAGCGTTTCTGTGTTTGAAGCGTGTTTGATGATTATGCAGTTGTTTTGCCTATTTGCAGCGCATTTGTGTCTTTGCAGCGCGTTTCAGCCTTTGCATTTGTTGTGGTAGTTTGCATTTGCTTTTGAATGTGCAGCGTTTCTGTATATGCTGCACGTTTTCTAAATGTATGTTGTTTCATCAGTTGCTGATCGTTTGACCCCTACCGGCCACCGTACACATGAGTCACAGAGTTGATCAGGTTAATTAAATATATAATATCTAAAATTACACATCATGATTTTTAGAATAATTGATTTTTTTTAATCAACAAAGTAACAAGTGAAACTGAAGAAAAAACATTGAGGAATAAATGGAACAGAATTAGAATCTGAAATGTGATTGTGTTAAAGTATAAAGTAACAAAATAGTACCAATTAAAAATAATGTCCCAAATTAATGCAATCTCATGATATTTTGTCCCTTTGGTCACACTGTGGATAAGCCTCCGTCGTGTCTCTCTGTAGGCACAGTGATGGAAAGAACAACACAGCTGCGTCTTTGAATGTCTCATTTCAATTGTAGACAGCTCAGTTTAAAAGTCAAATGTAATATCCACTGTTTGACATCAACATTTCACTATTCTTACTGTTCATTTTAGCTGTTATATTTGGTTTTTGACCTGTAACGAGTTGGCTTTTTCTGATCCACAAGGTGATCCTTACTTTATACCAAAATAAAAGCAGGGTCGAATTCAAACAGCAAGTACTCTCAATTTAAGACAGTACAAACATTTAAAATAAATAAAACTTCTGTTAATAATCTGTGACTAACTTAAGTGTCTTCTAGAAGGATTCATGATAAACTTCACAGAGTCTGTTTCCCCTTTTTGTTGTTTTAATCCAGTACCAGAGGACTCACCATGTGCCTAAAAGGATTTATGAGTAACCATGTCAACATGACACTTCTGAAGACCTGTGTCATCCTTCTCCTTCTGACTGTGTTGTTCTTTGTACTAAGAAACATGGACCTGCTGCAGGTGAGAACTGGGATTAGTGGCAACACTTTCAAGATGGACTGATGATTACAGGGGACTATTTTCAACAGTGTCTTTCAATGTACTCTTCACAACATTCATGGTTTTTATTTGCAAATAAACACAATTTCAAGGTTATGTTGCTTAAAACATTTTGCTCAGTGATTCTCTGAATCACTGGAGGGTGGGGTAATGGGGTGAAAAGCTGTGAATGCATTAATGACATACACACATACTTGATGCCATCCCTGCATAATTTGCACCTTGGGCCACCTGTCACAAAAAGTCTGAACACGACCTTGCTTACAAAAGACATCAACTTCAAGAAACAGAAAAAGAATCACAGATTTTTACTTTATTGAGTAGTTAAAAGGTCAAAAGTAAGGTCAGTTATAAAAGGTCTATCATGCTCTGTAGAACAAAAAAAGCAAACATTAGTCACCCCTGTCCACTTTTTGGACCCATTTAAACCCACTATAATAATTATTTTTGAACTTATGGCCATAGTAGCATAGAAACGTAAGTTTTGTTGTTATAGGCAATTAATCTGTAGACCATACTTCAAATTTGTAGATTTTACCTTTTTTTTTTTATCACATTTTTCAATTTTAGCCCAACAGCACAAATACATGCATTTTTTTCTAGTAACCACAAGGAACAGTGTTGAAGCTCATACAGCCCATAATAATAAATGAGTTACACTAAAATGATATGTGAATGTAGATATGGTTGTCACAGAGTGATGTATGTGTGTAAAATTAAGTTAGTGTCTGTGCATATGTGTGTATGCATGTGTGCAAATGGAGTAAAAAAAATGATATTGCCAATTCTTTGAAGTAGTTTGTGTGTCTGTGGTGTGTGTGCGTGTATGTTTGTGTGTGTGTGTGTATTGTGTGCCTGTGTGTGTGGGAGGGGTCATGTTTCTCAGGTTGTTTTTTCACTTTCAATCTGAATTATGTTTCTTATAGTGCTTTCACACTTCTGCAAAACTCGTGAGTTTTCACATGAATTTTCACTCATACTTCACCCGGAGTTTCTCCTCCAGCCTTATTTTAGTTTAGAGAGGCAACCTTGACACCTTGACTTGGATCTCAACTCTAAAACAATCGACAAATATTTGTGATGTAATATACAGTCAAGGACTCTGTGAATGGGGAACTAAACACAGATTTTTAGATGTACAATGCATCAAAGATGCACCTGCAGAGCAAACCGTGAAAAGGCAAAATTTGTTTTGAAAACAACCTCTACACGTTTATGCAGATTCAGTTGCAGCCACATAAATACATGCACCTTGTGGTACTGGTCATTTCACCCCTGAAACCATGAAAACATATACAACACAGGAAGCTTTGGAGCGAATGATGCTGGTCGTTGGCCTTTGCCAGGGTTGCCCCTTGTCACTGCTTATGTTTGCGGTTTTCATGGACAGGATCTCAATGTGCAGCCGAGGGGAAGAGGGTTTCCAAATGTGAAAGTCAGAATAAGATCGCAGATTTATTTCTTGTTCAAAGTTATCCTATATTATTTGTTTGGGAATTAGATGGAGGGGAGGGAAAGACTTTATAGGATCATAATAATGACTAACATATTGGTGATCATATCGAAACAACAATGGTCTTTTTAAATACCTTGAAGTCACTTTGATTAGAAATCGCTGAAAGTATTTATTCATCATTTTATTATTGTGTCAACTTTTTGGACATTGGGTGCTATGTGTCGCATTTATTTTAGGGGAGCCTGAGTTAAAGAATTATCTGAGCACAGTTCTTGTTGTTGTTTTTTTAAACAACAACAAAATATGATCATATCAATAGCTTTAATCCTGTTGGATTACTTTACTACCGGGACCTGATGATATCAGGGAGGTATCATGACTTTTTTAATGTTCAACTGATCTTCAGAAAAGATTTAGGGCCCAGTCTTTCTTTCGGGGTGCATAGTCCCGCATAACGAATCATGCAAATAACTTTTCAAGTCGAGTTTTCATATTGTTAATTATTACAACCCTGATTCCTAAAAGTTGGGACACTGTGTAAAATGGAAATAAAAATAGAAGGTGATTATAGAGGTCAGATCTTAAAAAGTCCTTCACTCACCTGTGGTAAGTGTAGCCTCGGTCAGGAAGAGTTGATGTCAACAGACTGTGGCTAACTTTCATCAGGTGTTTCTACCCTCTGACTGTCTCCTCTCTCCAACAAACAAGAGGCTCTCTCAGCCACCTCCCCCATCCTGCGGTCTGCAGTCTTCCTCTCCTTTCCTGTCACACCCATGGCTGTGATAATCCTCTACACTGACTGAGCCAGGAATCCTCTACATCTGACTTCGATTGGGAATAGCCACGCCTGCCAACCTTTTCCCCAACAGTCTTGCAAAAGGTCTTGGTATTTTGCACTCTTTGTTTCAAAGGCAAGGTCGTAGACTTCTTCCCAATGTTGGCTTCTTTTGAATATGGCATCTCTTGAGTCTCTCCTGCTCCAAGGTGTTAGCTAGTGTCATGAGCACCTTGTCATGGCGCCATCTGTTTGGGTTGTGGTGGTCACTGGGAGGTCATCCATAAAACCTCTTTTTGGGGGTTGTCATATGTCCAACTCCATTCTTGGCCCTCAAACATCTTTCCCTGCAGCTGTTATAGGGAGGTTGTGCAGCCAGTAAAAATACCCTTTTCCAAGTCTTATCACAGAGTTGTCAACTGGTCTGTTCGGAACCGTAACTGGATGTCTCAAAGTAGCTGGTGATAATTTCATTGATGTGCTCGGGGATGTGGTTGTGGTCTAATGCTGCGTAGATGAAGGCATGATGAAATGATCCGTATGCGTTTGCCAAATCATACCACACCACTGTCAGGTTGTCCTTGCCTGCTTTGGCCTCCGGGATCATTTTGACTGATGTGTGTTCCAGGCACCTGCATCCGCAGACACCTGGTATCCCACCTTTCTGTACAGATAGGCTAGGATAGTACTTTATTGATTCCCAGAGGGGAAATTTGGGCGTTCCCTCAGCTTTCTTCAAGCATGATGGAATACTGCCTTTTTTCCAGATCCTCACAACAGCTTCCATAGCCTTGTAAGGAGCATCTCGCACTTCTTACATACTTTGTAGGGTATACCGCTAGGTCCGGGGGCAGATGCTGTTCTGTTCCGGCCTTCTTCTGATGATGATTTGTTAAAGGTTGAAACACCATTTCAGATTCAAAGTGAGTAACATGATTGGGTACAAAAAGAGCATCGCAGAGTAGCCCAATCTTTAAAAACATTTTTTTTTTTGAAGATTTATTTTTGGGCTTTCTGTGCCTTTATTGTAGGATAGTGGATAGAGTCGGAAATCAGGGAAAGAAGTCATTTAAGGACCTTTCCGATAGAAAAGGAAAGCTGTCATTAAAAGTAACCCATGAACACCAAGATTCCTTCAAGTGTTTGTGTCGGCATATCGACTTGTCCCCACCCCCCCCAACGCTGTAAACCTAGGGGAAACACTGAACAAGGTACTCAGGCCAATTTCTTCACCCCTGTTCCTCTTGAAATTTAAATATTGGAATTTGTGTTTAAGGCCCATTTCTGGTGCATGATTAACCCATCACTTGTATAAACCTGGTCTAAAGTCAATAGTGCAGTATTGTATTTTTAAAGCATACCTTGTTTGATAGAAAGATGCCATACAGAATCACATTTGAAGAGTGGAGTGTGAAGAGTGTCCAACCAGGGCCTGGTTTATTTAAATGTCTTCCATCAAATTAGCAATGTGGCCAGAGGTAGACAATCTAGTTGAAGAAAAAAAAAACATGTTATTTGGTTGTGCCACCATTATGCAATGGAACTTAGAAAAAGTGGAATGGAGCAGGCCGTGTCAATCATGCACTTAAGATCAAAAAATGTAAACTACCATTGCCCTTAGGAATAGTTTTCCCTCAAAAATCCCTCATCTTTCTTCAGTTTATTTTATCTTACGAAATTTGTTTGATGCCTCTCTGTCACATCTCTCTTTTTTAACCCCTTGCCAGCTAAATTATGAAGAAAACTTTGGCATCGTCCTCAAGAAAGTGACCTCTGCTCCTCGCACTGTTGCTCACACTGCTCCTCACACTGACAACTTCTGCACCTTCGAGCCGCTGTCCTTGGCAGATGCTAAGGAGGAACGCATGTTATTAGACTCCATTGCTTGGCCTGAAACTCCTCCTCTGCCAGCTCCTTTTTTATTTGACCAGACAAGTGATCCCGCCCACAGCATTTTCACCATTCTCCCAGGGAGGGGTGGAGTAGACCGGCATGTAGGAGACCAGCTGGAAGTTATGATACAAATATACGACTTCCAAGGTAACCCCAAGAAGTCTGGAGGAGATGTCTTACTTGCTCGGTTGCACAACAGGGCTCTTGAAGCAGGTGTGGCTGGACGAGTGGTGGATCACCTTAATGGCTCCTACTCTGCTGTATTCCCTTTACTCTGGGAAGGAAGTGCACATGTTGAGGTAAAGTTCAAGGCTTTCTACTAAAATGGTATTGTAAAACAAGTGATGGTAAAGGAATCACCTATTGCAATGTGATTGTCCTGTAGGTCATTTAATTCATGGAATCTAAACCATTTTCCCTGACTTACTTTTGCCAACAAACAACATAAAAAGTAAAAAAAAAAGACATTGTGGAAGTTTAAAAAACTGCAGTTCTTCCAGTTACCTCTAGAGGCAGTCAATTCAATTCAAATAGCTTTATTGGCATTAATGTGTAAAATATATTACCAAAGCATATACTAACAACACATAATAATATAATAATAATAATGAAAAGTAATAATAAGCAATTAAATAGTCTAATAATGAAAAAAAAGTGTCATTTATTATTTTATAGTGTTGCATGTGTATGAGTTTAACACAAGTGTTATGTGTATTTGTGCCTTTGACTGTGTGTGTGTGTGTGTGTGTGTGTGTGTGTGTGTGTGTGTGTGTTTAGTCACACACTCTAATGACTTAATCCCCATTGATTCCTGTGTTAAAATGCCCATCTTTACCAGTTTTGTACAAAACGGTATTCCCCATTTCTGGACTACTTTACATTGAGGGAATGTATTCACCATAAGAGTTACATGTATTAACTCCTCAAAGATAGTCTAGCTTTTTTCTAAAAAATAAATATATACTTGCCACCTATTCATCACTTATGAGCCTGCATACATGTGTGGTGGTGACTGTGCCTGCAGAGACCCTGTCCTATGCCTGTATTTTAATGTTTGTTTGTTTTTTGGGGGGGGGGGGTTTCCCCAAGTCAATGTCAGGGTGTAGGAATTAGGTGTTTAAAAATGGTTTGTAAATGTTTATAAATGGAAACAATTCAATGATTGGACGTGATTTTAAACAGGCAAACATGACGGATGTGGACATAGTGACAAAGAAGAGAAAATACTACCATAGTAAGGCGAAACACTGACTGGCAATACGTCAGGGTGTATCAGCATATTGATTTAAAGTACAAGACGCTTTCAGAACTGCATTAAAAGTACTAATAAGTTGAAATATATACTAAGAGATTATGAATTGTTTGATAAAAAACAGGCAAATCTATTGTTTGAGAAGATGGCTGCCTACAGTGGTAAGAAAAAAAAGTTATACCGGGCTCCTGATAGCCGAGCAGTTATACACATGTCCCCTTTACAGAGGAGATGGTCCTCTTTGTAGCAGCCTGGGGGGGAATGTGACCTTGGCTCATTGCCGAATGTCATCCCCCTCTACATCCTCCCAACATTTCCTATCTGTTGTCATCTGTCCTATCTACTAAAGGCGAGACAGGTGAAAAAATATGACTTTAAGTCCAACTTTCCAGCTAGTAGAGAGTTTACCATTTCCTTCAATCTTATCGTTTACATTAAATAAATTATTAACTTCAGTCAGCTGACACCAAAAATAGAAATTAATTATCTTGAAAACATTGTTTTAACAATCAAATTATACACATAAAAAAATAGCATGCAAACGGTGTATGCTATACCTTTAAAGCTCTTGTGTTTTGTTTTATCAGGTGACGCTTGTCCACTCAAGCGAGGCTGTCACAGTTCTGCACAGGCTGTATAGAGAACATCCTGAAAGGGTTCTCTTTAAAAGCCTCTTCCGCTCAGGTTCAAGCTCTGAAACTACCTATAATGTAGTGTGTTTAGAAGATTCTTAATAATGGGAGTTTTTTCCCCCCAGCAAAGTCAACCTGAAAGTCTTCATTCACTCTTCAGGACCGGCCAATGTCATGGTGCTGCCTCCAATGAAAGGTAAAGCACAACTTTTCTGCTTCCACATTTTAAAGATATCCATGTGAACTTGAAAATAAAAATGGTTTGGTAAAAATAAATAAAACTTTCCTCTTTGTATTCCAGCCAGAGCATTGGTGGAATGAAGTACTACACAATAAAAAAATAAAAAGTGACAATAGCTGTTTATCTCTTTGCCTTGTAGAAAAGATATCCCATGTAAGGAAAAAATAAATAAACTAACCAGATTCTATTCACAAAACTGAGATAGAGCTGCAAGCATTTATTTCATTTACGCTCAAAACAAGATTTATTTTAAGTACTATTGTACTATTAAAGAGAACATATTATAGCCCTTTTCCACCTTTTCAAACAGTCCCCTGTGGTCTAAATGAAACATCTGTGCTGTGCTTTGGTCAAAATATAACATGAATCAAGCACCAGAGGAGGTTTGTGACCCTGTATAAACCAGCTCTCTCAGAACACTCCGGTTTGGTGTGTGTGTCTCTTTAAATGCAATGAGCCGCCTTGAGTTTTCCTGGTAGACATCAATCCTCTGTAGAAAGACTTAAAATGGCAGACCTGCGCAAAAGTTTTGTTCTAGGCTGGGGATGGAGTCCATGGGTGGAGATATCAGGGGTAGGGAGGGTATTCTTTTTTTTTTTTACCAGAATCCAGCTTTTGACATCACAAGCTGAGAAAATTTGAAACGGAGCATTTTTCTCTGTCTTGTAAGACTTATGCAGACTACAAACAAAGGACGGGATGGATTTATTTCATATTTTGTGGGTCAGTAGACTCTCAGGTTACCCAAATATATGTTCAAAAACACTGTACAAGTGGATTTGTCATAAAATGTCCCTTTTAAAAATACTAAACTAATTAACATCTGTAAATATTTAGCTTTCAATAATCAACATTTTCTTATAAAATGAATTTGGTAACATTTACCTTAACCACAATAAACATGTGCATTCGAGACATACACTGTCCTGCTGAGCACTTCAATGCATATTTTTCTGCTGCTCAGACAAGTCCAATAAATACACTTATCTGCACTGGTAAAAAGCTAAAACTGAGTCTTGTGTAAAAATTTGAATGAATACTTTTTTGTGTTATATTATGATGTTGTCTCAAGTGAAATAAGCAAGGTAAAGGAGAGACCATGTTTTGGTCTTTTTATGGGATCTGTTACATGACAAAACAATGACTTTAATAACCAAAAGCTTGATCAATATGTCTTAGGGCAACCTGAGGTCGATCAAGGCAATGGGAAGTCTGGACTCTCTGGGTATTACTACCAGGGTGTGTGGCGATCACTAGGTGGCACCAAAGTCCACCAATTCAACAACTCCTCTGCCATCAGTCAGTGTCTGAAAGGAAAGGTGGTCCACATGTATGGAGACTCCACCTTAAGGCAGTGGTTTGAGTACTTTGATGCTTCACTTCCAGGTAGTTGATTCACAGTAATTTCAGGTGAAAGTTTATTATTTATATAACAGCTAAACTTGTTTCTTCTGTCATACTTTCAGATTCTAAGGAGATTAACCGGAATAGTCCGAAGCAAACTGGACCTTACATGATATGGGACAATGCAAAAAACATCTTGGTAACATACCGTGTCCATGGTCCTCCTCTTAGTTTTATCTACGTCCCAACCAGTTAGCTGCGTTACATTGCAAATGAAATTGACGGGTTGGTAGGTGGCACCAACACAGTTGTAGTTTTTAGTATCTGGGCCCACTTCAGCCCTTTCCCAATTGAGCTCTACATCAGATGACTTCAGAGCATCCGCAGGGCGGTGATTCGTCTGTTGAACAGGGCTCCAGACACGCTGGTGGTCATCATGACTGCAAACCTCAGAGGTTTAACACCTTCTGAATCGTTAAACTACAGTGACTGGTACACACTACAGCTGGACAAGGTGCTCAGAGCTGTGTTCAAAGGATTTAATGTTCGACTAGTGGACGCTTGGGAGATGACTCTGGCCCACCACCTGCCTCACAACATTCACCCAGGCCGTCCTATTGTTAAGAATATGATTGACATTCTCTTGTCGTACATATGCACCAAATAGGGCTAATAGATGTGCATTTGTTCAGTGAGAGAGTTAATATCTCAATCAATTAATCTTTATTTGTATAGAGCTAATTCATACCAAATGTTATCTCAAGACAATTTACCAAATAGTAGGTTAAAGGCCTTGCTCTTTGTTATCTCAAAAGACCCAGTATTAGTCCATCACGAGAAGACACAAGGAAATCGCCTCCTGAAACCAGAAATACAATATTGCATTGACTCCTGCTGCCATTTCCCTCTTCATCTGCCACGGAAAAGCTGCCCAAATCTGTTGAACAGAATAGCCAGGGCAGCTGTGGCTCAGTTGGTAGAGTCGTCGCCTCTCAACCGGAAGGTCGAGGGTTGAGCAACATGTCTGATGTGTCCTTGGGCAAGACACTTAACCCTGAATTGCTCCTTCTGCTTCAGTGGCGGTGTATGAATGGGATTAGTTACTTCTGATGATACTACATAGCGATCACTACCATCAGTGTGTGAAAGGGTATGAATGGGTGGGTGTGACAGGCGGTGTAAAAGTGTACACACTAAATAATGTTTGGTCATTTACATGACCCAATTGCTGGGTCCTCGGCTGCTGGGTCATTTCACTGGGTTGATTTTGGTCACGGCGGGAATATTGACCCATTATTTGGTCATTGAGATTGACTGAAGTGATCCAACAGCTGAGCTGAGCTGCGTCACAACTCAGCGCTGGGTCAAAAGTCCCGCCCACTGCCCTCCTCGCGACCCTCGCGGCTGCCAGGAGCTGCTGAACAAAAGGATTGCTTCTGGATTTTCTGGTGTAATGTCACGTTGTTCAGGTAGTTAACTTACTTTAGAGTTAGCAAAAGTAGCGGTTAGTTAGTTAGTCTTACATTTTCTCTGTTTATACAATATGGTCTATCATAACGCAGTTAGCTAGCTAATTGGGCGCCTGCTCATAACATTCACATTGGCGAAGTTAATCACTGATTAATGTTAATGTTACTCTGTGTTATTACTGTCGTCACCTCAGGCATCCCTATGAAGACTTGCCTTTCAGTAACATCTTGACTCGACTTATTCTAAATGTTTCCAGCGAGAAAGACGTTTATCAACTAATGTATAAGTTATCTTTATAGTCCCAAAAAAATCAGAGAAAATTATAACGTTCACGTTACAGTGTTCACAGAATTTACTTGTTTAAATATGGAGCTTAAATGGAAATTGTTGTAACGTTACGACCTGAGGGGTTGGTTTCAAGAACAACAAAGCTGTCGAGTCACCCCAGGCTGGTCAAGACTGTACTGTTAGCCTGCGGTGGTTGATTAATGTAAGTGAATGTAGTCTTCAAACGCAATCGCAGGTTTAACGTTACTTTGAAACGTGACTATTCATATTAAAGCTAACGAACCTGATGTCTAAAACGGCAACTTTTTAAACTGACGTTGACGTACTCGCTCTTTGCTACATCGTTTGATTATGATGAAAAGAGATGCGACTGTGTGTGCCAGCAAGACTGTTAATACTCAAAAAAGAGTGTGAGGCAACATCCCTCTGATACTGATTTAAGGATCAAATGTTAGACTTTCTTGAGATTTGAACAAGTCAAGGAAGCTAAAACTAGTTGGTTGAAATATGACACTAGCCTATTTCCTTTATTTATGAATGGGCAAGAATTCAGTAAAATGCATCTATTGATCATAAGGTCTAAGCATCTAAGGGCTAATTTCATACGTAAGGTATGTCTACAGACGCATTTATTTTAAATAAGATTTCCACAGAGCGGACATTTTTGATAGAGGGCATCATACCAGTGCTGTCATTGACATAGGAAATAACCAGAAATTTATTTCTTAAGAGTTAGAATTGTTTTTGTTTGTTTATAAAGATTTCATGGACAATTTTGTGCGAGAGACACTGGTGGCACGGCACTTGGAGCTGTTAACTCCAAAGTTTGAAGGTGAGTGTGTCTTTGTTTGTATTTTGTAATTGCGTGTGTCTGAGATTGAATTGCACATTGCATCACCATTTACATAAGGAGTTAGATCAGTCTCAATATTCATGAATGGACACAGAATGATTCACAAATGTATTTCAATGTAAACACAAATATGTATTATTCTAAATGTAAAAAAAAAATCCACAAATTAAAATATAAGGTTCACAAACGTATTTCTGAGTACATATATATTTAAAAAAACACATTTGGATCTTGTTACATACTCCCCTGCCGTGGTTACATTCACAAATAGATTTTTTTTCAGCAGGGAAATATCTGTAGCCAATCAGATGTCTCCTTTCTAATCAGCCAATCACAGTAGCGTAGATTCAAGGGGTATGATTTAATGTGATCACTCCATTACATATATATATATATATATATATATATATATATATAAAAACTATAAATATTTGTGTGTGAATCACAAATAAGTTTGTGAATCTTATTTTTTTTATTTGTGGATTTTTTATATATTTATATAGAATGATAAATATTTGTGTGTGCATTGAAATACATTTGTGAATCCTTCTGTGTGCATTCATGAATATTGAGACTGATCTAACTCCATATTTACAAGAGACACTAAGAAATAACTAGGTCTACGTACATGTTTCTGCTGTGCTGTTTTAGGTGTGTGTGAGGATGAAGCAAGGGGCAACCTCCGGTCTCGAAAAATGAAGCCTATGCGGAAGTACAAAAAACTGCAGTTCCTCGAGGTTCCGCTTGAGGCTGGCTGCAGAAGCACCGGAAGTGCCATAAGCCCACAGCCAAAAAAGCCTGTTTTTACCACAGGAATCAACATGTTTACAGCCTGGTTCAAAAAACGAGATATATCTGAGAAGTTGACGGCCCCTTCTCCTCACACTGTGGGGGGGGGGGGGTGAA